GAACGCGTATCTCCTAGTTCAATGTCCAAAAAACACAACAATTCTAGGAGAAAACGTCTATATTATATTAAAAGATGGAAATACAAAGCAATACCTGAAGTTGATGCACCTTCCAAGTCACAATTACTCCGAGGAGTATCCAAGGTAAAGGTAATAAGTCCAACCGCCACAGTATCAATCCAAATATGGCTGTAGCCATATTAAAGATCAAATTTAAACAACATATATACAGTTCAGAAGCAAACATAAAAACTTCAATATAAGTACAAAATATAGAAATAATAACAATATACAGTGATAAAATCTCAAATTTGAATCAAATAAAATACCAAAATGTCAACAGAAAAAGTCCATCAGGTCATAACAAAAATATGTAAACATGGAGGGATTTTCCAAAAAAACAAAACATTCAAAAAAGATTCTACAGGGGATCCATAAGAAGTAGGGGATTTGGATGAGTTTCATAAGGACCAGACATCAACTTAGGTATGAGCAGAGGAAACAGGTAAAACTTAACCAGTCGAAATGTAACATTATGAACTTTAGGCCTCACGTGACACAAAGAACTTACATACTCAGTGAACGTCGGTCCCATGATGTTCCCGGGAAATGCAATCACAACTCTTTAACTAAAAATAGTCTAAAAACTAGTCCGAAGTACGTAGGGTACGCAGCTATGTCCAACGCAACTCTTCAGTTTATGTGAAAACAATTTTGTGCAGTCACACCAAAAATGTTTCTTACTCTCTTCAACACACTCACACGCTCACATCTTGAAGTTGATCACGTCGTCACACCATCTTTCTTTAAAAGAGGTATAAATCTTTTGGATCAGGTACAGACACGAGCAAATAAATGGGTGATAGGTTTCAAGAACAAACTTTACGAATACAGACGTCAGCACTAGTGATCATTCTCTGAGTTATAGAAGTACCAGAAGTGATCAGATGATGGTATACAACATATTTCGCAAGCCAAATCATCCTAACACGAATATCTTACTAAAACATCGTCATCACAACGCTCAGGGTAACCCTTGTAAAACTGCATATCAAAGAGTAAACACTCAGGTTCGTGCACAATTTCTCTCATTTATATTTGTTGCAACTTAGAATGCTCTACCAGACGACGTTACCACAGCCCCTTCACTGGATAGATCCCAGAAGAGACTCACATACGGATCTTCGTCTCTGATTTCGAGCAGCTGAACCTGATTTTTGCCTCGAACTTGCTAGTCGTTATTACTGCCAATTACTAATATCATTGACATAGTCCATCTGCTTTTTATCTTTGTTTCCTCTTCCTCGCTTACACTTCTGCCATTCCGCACAATCCTTACTACTTAACTTAATGCTGAAGTATTCTTCTCATTAGCATATTGTTAATTGGGTAGATTTATCGCCAACTGTCATGTTAAATCCCTCCTAACGTCAAATATCAGAAGGACAGTTGGGTTTGGAGTTAAGATATATTTGTTGGTGATCTCGTGGTATCGAAATAATACCAGGGTGTTGCCAAAAAGTTTAGAGGAGACTACCGAGTGTACGTGAAAAAGTCCAAGGTCACAATGAACGGAAAATTTGTTTTTAGTACAATTTAACAAGGAGGTACAGTAAACCAGTCAAACAACAAATGTTTCCATTACACCGTTCCCGTTTACTTCATGAAAGTAGCTCACTGCAAGCATTAAAATTTTATCCTTATGATCCACCACATCGCAACCAACTGATCTAATAGCAACTGGTGTCTAGAAACCTTTCTTCCCTGAGTAAAAACGCTCATTCAAATAATGGGATATACAAATTCATAAATAACTACCAACTGACTAGAATTAGTGCGGTCGAGCGGTTAGAACACCATTCGCTGGACATTACCAAATACGTGTATTCGTACCGAAAGAACAAGATTGGAGCACAACAAAATTAGTTGGCTTGTACTAGCTAGTGAAAAAGATATTGGACATTGGAAAAGGCTCGTCCCACTTCAGGGCCATAGTTATTTCAACTTTTCCTGTGTAGTCGTAACTCATTCGGTAACTCAAGCTATCAGCTTATAATAACCTCATCCTTGTGTTTTTCTCTTTTTGTCAATTGTTCAATATCCGAACTTTGGGGAATCACTCACGGTAACCTTTGGGTAGATGCAATCCAAAACCCTTAAATTTAGAGTTGAGGCAATGTTATGTTTATCTAGACTTAGCGGATGGATTTGGTACAGCTTCTGGTGCTGATAAAAGTTTTAGTATACTCACAAGACGCGATATTGAACGTTCCCTATAGGCGAAGAGGAGAGCCTGGCACAAATGGAAAGTCTCCTTGAAGGATTCCGATCGCAGTTCTTACTTGGCATTGAGAAACAGATGCAGTATCAAAGTTCGAAGTGATAGGAAACAATTTCAGATGAAGCTAGCTGTCAAAATACAGGCAAACTCAAAGCATCTCTTTAGGTTCAGGCCTAAAAGAAAACCTACTAATCAAGGGTTGTGTTCTCTCGAAGGACCGAAAGGAGAAGACCCCACCAACCTAGAGGTGGCTGATATTGTCAACACTAACTTTACTGGGCAGTTAAACCAGGCACTCACATGTTCAGAGTACTACGCCAACCCACTGCCAGCTGACGGCTTACGGAACATCCGTATCACCCCTGATGTAGTACTAAGGAAACTAAAATCCTTATGCCCAGGTAAGTCACCAGGTTGTGACAATATTTGCTTCATAGTCTTGGAACAATGTGCAGAAGTACTCGGTTCACCAATGTGTGATCTGTTCAGGCATTCACTGGAGTCACACTAACTCCCAGCTGAATGGAAACAATCTGCTTTCTCTCCAATCTTCAAATGAGGAGATAGAAAGGACCCAGCCAGTTACAGACCAGTCACATTACTACCAATGCTATCAAAGGTAATGGATGTGCTGGTGGGCGAAAAAATGAGGGAGTACATGGATAAGAATAAAATACTCCATGAAGCTCAACATGGGTTTCGGAAAGACAGGTCGCTGGCATCTAATCTTCTCATAGCATGGGACAGTTGGACATCCTGTTTGGACCGTAAAATACCGGTGCACGTAATATTTCTCGACTTTGCAAAAGCCTTTGATACAGTACCCCACGCACGCCTAATCGTAAAGGTTATGGAAATGGGCTTCACTTACCCACTCCTATCTTGGCTCAGAAACTACCTTGAGGGTAGAAAGTTTCGTACCAAGGTAAATAGAGTTCACGCGTCCTGGCGATTATCTACATCGGGATCTATACCATCAATGGCAGTCAGCTCTCTAATGTCTCCTCAGAGCGCGATCTTGGTTTAATTACCACAGAAAGCCTCCATACGAGTCCGAGCTATGTATGGGACGCAGCCAAGACGAATGCGACTCTTCAATTTACGCGAAGACAACTTGGTGCTTTCACCCCACAATCATTCTTGACGTTATTTAAGATAAACGCACGCCCACATCTGGTGGTTCACAACGTCATCGCACCCCCTGTCCTTAAAAGAGACAGAAATCTCTTGGATCGAGTGTACAAAAAGAGCGATAGGGTTGAAAAATAAGCCTAACGATGATAGACTCCAATACTTGGTATTATTTCCACTGAGCTACAGGAGAATCAGAGGTGATCTGATTATGGCGTACAACATATTAAGCACGCCAAACCATTCCAACGTGAGCATCTTACCGACGCATCACCACCACTCCCCTCGAGCCAATCCTCGAAAAACCACCCATCAAAGAGCGAATACTCAGGTTCGTGCACAATTTTTTTCTCATTAAGAGTCGTTGCAACTTGAAATTCTCTCCTGGCTGGTGTAATCACAACCCGCTTATTGGACAGCTTTAAGAAGAGACTTGATAATCACCTACCGACATACGGATTATCATCTCCCTCGTGGACAAGCTGTTCATGATGCATTTCTGGAGACCTGCTAGTTGTCATTAATGCCATCTCCTATGACCGCTTACCTAATCTATCTTGCCTACTATCTGTGTTCCCTCTCCCTTACTTACACTTCGGTTCCCTCTCACAATCTTCACTACCAATTAATAAACCAAATCATCATTATATTACATAGTTATGAAATCCTCTTCTTATTAGCATTAGAATTTTACCCTTATTATCCTAATTATCTACCACATTGCAACTGATTTATCTTCGGTTTGGTGATGTGACAGCTGCTGGCATCTAGTAATCCTACTGCCCTGAAACAAACGATATCATTCAAATACCGAGACATAGAAACTCACAACCAACTGCCAATTGACTAGAATTAGACAGTCGAGTGGCTAGACCCCCGTAAATTGGATACTACCGAACACCAGGTACCGTACAGAAAGAGCAAGAATCGAGCGTAAAGAAATCAATTGGTTTATACTAGCTCGTGAAAAAGATATTGGATATTGGAAGTCAGATGAAACGACACCATATATATATATATATATATATATATATATATATATATATATATATATATATATATATATATATATATATATATATATATATATATATATATATATACAACATGCCTAATCACTGCCTACCCGGATGCCAAACGAATCTCCTAACTTTAGAAGAATTTTAAGGGTTTTCCCGAACCAGTTCCCAACTGGCTTACTTCCACAACGTCAATAGAAACTTTTGGGTTTTTCCTTGCATTCCCTCAAAGTTTAAAATGAGATCTTCCAAAAAATTTGCCCCAAGTCGGGACATTCAGCAATGTCACTGCTTCTGACCTGTATCCCTAGTCTAAATTTCCATTGGATTTGAAATTATTTCTCTTTTAGTTTTCAAGCAACCGAAAAGATCTTGTTCATTTCTCTTCCAGGTTATATCACATATTTCACATCATTTAGAACATTCTTATTGTTTTTTCTACGAGATCCCAATTCACTTAGTGAAGGCTTACATCCTGTATGGTCAGGCGACATAAAGCGAAGAAGTAATGGTATTTAAGTATAGTTGGAGCTATTGAGTGCAATCAGTGTAATGCCTAATACACGTTGGGCGGTTCTGTGTTTTCTATGGGTTTACCTATCAATCAGCGCACTGTTTGATTGGGATGGTTGCCCTTCACTGTAATTCTATACATTGACAGCTATGTTAATCATTATACTAACTTCTCTTCATTTAATCACCCGATAGGAATTCCCGAAATAAAAACTTCTTAAAATAGTGTTTCAAATGTTTTAAAATTAGAAGCTAAGAAATGGAATAACCGCTAATCCTCGTGATGCTTCACCTTCTCTTAGCCTGTGTAGAATATTTGATAGAGTTAGTGTTAGTTTATTATTATCCTGAATGTGTTGTGGATTAGTTTACATGGAAACGTTTCTTCATGTTTTAGATAATATGATGACGTAAAAATATGGCTGTCAAATCATTCAGGCGAAAAGCGTTTTCTGTTCATATGTAATGGGACGAAGGAAAATTGAAGTCCGAAAAATCGAAGACAAAAACAAGTGTGTGGTAGGAACTATTTGTTAAGTGTCAGCATTTTCCCACTTAGGCCACTTTTCGCAAGCGTCGAAATGGTTTATTTAAGAAGGCGCTTGAATTACACCGTCTGACTGGTGCAGAAATTACACTTACTTTAGTATATAACAAGTCCAGATATTGCTTCAACTCTCATAGTAATACGGATGATAGAGGAAATTCAGTAAATACTTTTCACTACAACAAACATTTCCAGTTCAAGGTTGGTTTGAGTATGTTTTGAAAATGATTCATTTGTTTTGTTTGCAGATTTAGTCACTTATTTCGTAAACGAAAGTTACACCAAAATAATTTTTGTTCAGCTAGTCATCTCAATATGCATATATCTTCATACTACTGGGGCGTAGTTTGTGAAATCATTACGGAAAACAGACACCCAGCACTGAAACAGGGTTGGTTGATAAGTGAGATCAGTCAGAGGTTAGGCGTTTGCGTGCAAAACTGAAAGTCCTGGGTTCGAATCATGCAGGTTGTTGGAGTCGTGGATGCGCACTGATGATGAGTCCCATACCAGGATAAAACGGCCGTTCAGTGCTTTCAAGTTTCTAATGGTGGTGATTTCAAATAGTAACTCAGTAATCTCTACAGCCCCATAATGCAACATAAGATAGTTGAGAAACCCTGACTTTCGAACAAATCCTGTTCAACTGGATTTGTTTTTTGGCCACTGACTACGAGGAGACGGCATCTCTCGTTGCTACGCCACCTTGTGGACTTGGCCTCTAAGTTAAAGGCTCCAAGGGTAACCATTTTTATCAGCTGGGCAGCGTTACGGTCTAAACGCAAATTTCTGTGTGGTACATACTACTTTTGGTGCCCACGTCATCCCCATATTTCGCAGTGTTGAGTTGTGAGCTTTAGCTAGGCGAATATTGTGTAATAAACGTTTCTTATGCGGTGTTATACTAAATACTGAAATATTCCTGATGCTATATATAATCTCGGTGTTCACTTGACAGTTACCTACTCACTTAATACTCACATATACTTCTTGGCCTTACTATTGAAATATTTACTTGGGTTATTTAGTTTTATAAAGTTTTAGAAACGTGAAGTAAATTTCGATGGTTTATTTCTAATCTATGTGACTGTAAGAGCTAAACAAGATTATAATGCTCTATGCACCTAAATTTAACATCAGTGATTGATGTAGTTGAAAGTATAGACTGTACATTAGTGACGTATAAAATCCTTTTATCAAATACAGTTTTTCGCATTTACAAATTAAAGTATAAAAAACGATCGCCGCATAATAATGTTCAGTCCCTTATTTTGTATCCTCAGTCAGTCAACAACAACATAAACTTCTTACGTACGTACATCAGTTCAAGTTGTCATACCACATTAGCACAGAGATGCAATTGTCACTTCAAATCCCATCGTAGTAGAGGTAGTAAGAGTATTAGAAGTAATGTAAAAGATTACGGTTCGAAGGTATGATTCAAAAAGTAGAATTTAATGAACTAAACTTAAAAGAAGTAGATAAAGGTGATGAGGAACTCCGAACGTTAGGATTTGAGAGAACACAAAGAACGAATGCACCTACACCATTGCGAACGGTTTTAAGCCATGTCATTCCGGGTCTCACCATCAATTACTTTCATCTCGCGGGGCCCAAACAGGTAGTCGGCAACTGCCAACATGACCCAGTCCACTTGTCAGTGGCTTCATAGATTTGTGCCATGTTTTTGTTTGGCCCCCCTAGCTTTCTTCCAACCTATTCCTACGGTATGGACTCGAAAAGATCAAGATACTCGCCGTTGCCTCTTCGTCGTATCTGCCTACGCTCCCACTGACTTCAGTGCAGGCAAGGTGAAAGATAAGTTTTACAGAAAGCTTTTGGGCCTCCTCCAAAACGTTAGGCACTCTGATATAGTAATGTTGGCTGGTGACTTTAACGCTCAAGTAGGTCGACTCAGCGAAAAGGAAAGACTTGGGTGGATCTCATCGTATCGCGGCTCAAAGAACAGACAAAGGTGACCGTCTGCGGCAACTATGCTCAGATAATCGCCTATTTCTAGCGAAAACTAACTTTAAGCATAAGGAAGACATCTTTTGACCTAGCGACCCCCAAAGCTGACCCAACTAGATCACGTCGCTTTGTTGAAGACTGCCTCTCATTCTGGGGCACTTGTTTAGACTCAGACCATGCTCTAGTGCGAGCGCTTATTTGCTGTCGTCTTACTGGACGTAGGAAACATATCGCAAGGAAACCTCTAAAGGACTTTACTCAAAGACAATAAAGCCGTGGATTTCAGTAACATCCACCGCACTGATGGATGTTCAAAAACTCATCCTGAGTACGATGACCAGTGGAGTCAGCTTAAGCGCAGGCTGATTAAAGCCTACGCCATGATAGCGAACAGTAGTGAGTAGTGAAAGCAAGAGAGATGGAAAAAGCAGCGGCGATAAGCTACAGTAGGTAACTATTCAGACTTATCAGCGAAACCGGTAGTAGGAATCCGACTGTAAGTGAGACAATCTCGGTAAAAGATGTTCTTATTATTCGTTTTCAATCCAAGAGATCGAATCGATGAACAGAATACTTTAGGGATCAGTTCTGCTGGCCTTCAGCCACACTTCGGTCGCTCACGATCTCCAGTCATCCTGAATGGCAAATCCACGTAAGTCGTCTGACTACAAAGTTGAGAAAGCCATAGGAAATCTGAAGCAAGGAGGGGCAGCTGGTCCTGACAGGCTAACTCCTGAGTGTTTTGGGGATGGTGGTCCAGTTTTAACGGTAAGGTGGACCGAGATCTTAGGCAGAAGTTGAGAACTAGGCGTAATCCCGTTTCACTGGTCTCAATCCCTGATTGTCCGAATTTATAAGAAAGGACAGTCAAAGGGGGATAAGCCTAACTAATATAGTATCTAAAATATTGGCCTAAATAATACTCCGACGCCTAACGGAAGCTTGTGAAGAGCAGACTAGAGAAAACCAGGCTGGTTCTCGACCTGGATGTGGATGTATCAATCAACTATTCACCCTACGTCATGTCCTAGGAAATAGACACACGTTCAGACGTCCCACAATAGAAGTATTTCTCGAGCTTAAAGCGACATTCAACTCTGTAGATCGTGAGGTCCTATGGCAGTGTTTCTCACTGAAAGGAGTACAACAGAATTACATCAACCTTATACAGGCTCTCCACTCGAACACCACTGGTTGAGTCAGAGCTTATGGCGAACTGTCATTGGAATTCTCTATTTCAAGTGGTGTCCGTCAGAGATGTCTACTCTCCCTATTCTTGTCTAACGTTGTCGTAGATATGCTTTTAGAGTTAACATTATCAGCGTCTGAATTTTCAAGAGTGGACCTTCTACCAGGAGACACGCTTGTTGACCTAGAGTATGCTGATGACATAGTTCTGTTCGATGAACACGCTGACAAAATGCAGCAGAGTCTTCTGACTACCCTAAGCAACAATGCAAGCATGTTCGGGATGCGGTTCACCCACTCCAAATGCAAAATGTTGTTTCAGGATTGACTTGTATCCACATCTGAACTAGTGATTGGGAGTGAAGCAGTTGAGCGTGTTGACCAGCTCACCAATCTGGGAAAACTCATCAATACTGATGGCCTGGTGACTGACGAAATCTCAGAACGGATACAGAATGCTCGATCGGCTTTCGCTAACCTACGTCACTTTTGGCGTGGGCGAGATATCCGTTTGCTAACCAAAGGACGAGTGTACTACACAGTAGTCCGCTTCGTTCTACTATATGGATATGAAACATGGCCGGTAAGAGTAGAAGACATTCGTAGGTTATTAGTATTCGATTGCAGATGTCCCCGAAGCATTGCTCATATATCCTGGGACAGCCGAGGTGGTTGGGACGTGTTACGAATGCCCAACCACCGACTGCCTCGACGAGCTATGTTTTGTGGTTTAGGAGTAGGCTGGAAGAAAGCTTGGGTCGGCCAAACGAACACATGGCAGAAATCCATGAAGTCACTGACAAGTGGAATGAGCAATGTTAGTAGATGTAGGCTACCTGGTTGGGTTCCGTGAGACGAAAGTCATCGATGGTTAGAGACCTTGAACGATATGGCTCAAAATCGTTTGCAGTGGTGCTGGTGTATTCACTGTTTGTGTTTTATGAAATTCTCATCTGAATTCGTCATTACCTCTACCTTTCTCTTTCTAAACTTATTCAATTATACTTCTTGAATGTTATCTTCGAACCCTAATCTCCATATAACGCTAATACTTCTACTATCTCTACCATTATTGGATTTGAACTTACAATTGCCTTTCTGTGCTGATGTTGTATGACAACCTGAACTGATGTACTTGCGTACGAAATTCTGCTGACTGACTGACGAGTAAGCAATGCTGTCCATTGGAAACGGATCCTAGATAAGAATGGCAGGTCAATAGATGAAGTATTGAAACTTAATCAGTTTAGGTGGTCGGGACGTGTGTTGCTCATGCCTAACCACCACTAGAGCATGATCTGAATCTAAACTTGTGCACCAGAACGAGTGACAGTCCCCCTTCATCGGTGGCTGATGGTGATGTGCTTAACTGGTCAGCTTTGGTGGTTGCCAGGTCAAGAGATGTACTTCCTTATGCTTAACATTAGTGTGTGCTAGAAATAAGCGGTTATGTGAGCATAGGTGCAGCAGACGGTCTCCATTATCTGTTCCATCAGCCGCGACACCATAAAATCCACCCAGCTGTCTTTCCTTCTCACTTAGTGTACCTACTTAAGCGTTTAGGTCACCAGCCATTATTACTTTTTGAAAGTGGTCCGAAAGCTTTCTGCAGATCTGATCGTTTATGTCGTTTGAAGTGCAGTCAGTCGGAGCGTAGGTGGAGACAACGAAGAGGTAACGGCGAGTTACCCAATCTTTCTGAGCCCATATCGTCCCATTTGGTCGGACAGCGCATAAGCGACTGTTTACCGGGATCCAGTCTAAGGAAGCTAGTGCTGACCTAGGACTTAATACTATACCCACACCAGCGAGGCCACGGGAAGCAGCATCAGGATTTCGAAATGTCTTAATATATTGTCTGTATGTTTCTAGTTATTGTTCTAGTTTAATTATTCTGCATTACATTTTTCACTGATTTTTATACTATGTATCTAATTAGTATCTACAAATTTTTCTTTTCCACACCTTTATTTCATAGGCATGCGGATCTAATTTACTACAAGGTTGCAGTGAAACTAACTGTTTATCCAAGCTGTCAAAAAATAGTTATTCAAAGCAAAAGAATGAAACACCAATTAAATTGAATTCATTTCCAGTGATGAGTCCGATTAACAACTGTGCCAAATCTAAATATAATAAAACTACTAAGTTAACTAGTGAAGAGAGATTGGCTAATTTACGACATATAATTGTTGATGAATTATTTAAACGTGCGCTTAGACGATTTTGTTCTCTGACCAAAGTATCCGGTTTAAATAAGGTGAACACTACTATATCGATTATCTTTTTGCTTATTTCTAACAAATGAAGCTCTCTATGCTTAAACTGTTCATTTAATAAATCAATAGGTTATTTCAGTTGCGATAGAGAGGTGGATTATTAGTTTGGGGATTCTAACTTCCAACCGCTGGGTAATAATAAGCTCAAGTCTCTCCTCACCTGTTTCGTTGTGGACAGCTCGACCCCGCACGTAGTGACACAACGCTGGGTACACGAATCTATGCTCGATAAATGGGTTATATCTTATCCATTGTGAGTGTTGGTTAGCCTTTATTTGTTATGAAAAGAGAAAGGAGAACTCAGAGTTTTACATATGCCTAAAAATAGTCCTAATCAATGAGTTAATATAAAATATTGCCCATTCGAGATACATACTATTTCTTGAAAAATTGCACCGATATTACCACTGTTATTGTTATTCTCATGACGTTAACTATCAGCAAAAGTGCCTTCAGATTGTCATATTGGATTGCATTAAAGCATCTTGATTGAATGAATAGAGTATATCTGCGTTGTTATACTCTTAATTTGTCGTCAAGGTGTTTCTCATTTTAGTTATGAAATTTTGGTAAAGTTATTGCATATATAGCGATTTACATATTGGCCATAGTTTGTCTTCATTTACCAACTTGTCAGATGCCGAAAACTTTTGGTTTTCTCTCCGTTAATCTAGTTCAAATATCAGTCAGATGTAAGATATTTAGAATTTACAGATGCGTAATGACCAATATATTTCATACTTAGTTAGTACTGATCGAATTTTATAACTCCGCCTGTAGACCCTACGGGGCTACTGCCGGTCCCAAGCCCGGATAAAGGAGGAGGGTTGGGCATAGGGTTGGCGACCCCATCCCGCCAAAAAAACGATAACAACAAAAAATAGTTCAAACCACATAAACTCTGCTCTGGTAGTTGGATGTCGTGATGAAAGCCGAGTGTCCTCCCAAGTCACGAGGCCGATGTCCCTTCTGACAACCAGAGCAACCATTCTTTTAGATAAATGGAACGTTCGAACATTGTGGGTGACTGGAAGACTATTTCAAGTTGCTGCAGAAATGAAAAGATACAACCTGGAGGTGCTTGGAATCAGTGAAACACTTTGGACACAGGTAGGACAACTGAGACTAGCTTCAGGGGAACTGCTGTTATACTCTGGTGATGAAGAGCAAAATGCTTCACATACATAAGGAGTCGCACTGATGTTGTCCAAACAATCACAAAAGGCATTAATAGGATGAGGATCTCATGGACCCAAGATCATCAAAGCATCCTTCAAAACAAAGAGGGAGGACATTACAATGAACGTCACCTATTAATGCCTACAATGACGACGTTAAAGATCAATTCTACGAAAGGCTGCAGTCAATCGTCGAAAGATGCTCACCAAAGGATTTGTCGATTCTGATGGGAGACCTAAATGCCAAGGTTGGCATGGACATCACTGGATATGAAGACATCATGGAACGACATGGACTGGGAGAAAGGAACGAAAACGGTGAGAGATTTGCAAACCTATGTGCTTTCAACAAACTGGTCATCGGTGGCACAATATTCCCGCACAAGCGCACACACAAAGCTACATGGATTTCATCGGATCACACTACTCAGAACCAACTCGACCGTATAAGTATCAAAAAAATTCAGAAGGACTATGGAGGATGTGAGAACCAAGAGAGGAGCTGACATAGCCTCAGATCACCACTTGCTGGTCGCCAAAATGAAACTGAAACTCAAGAAACACTGGACAACGGGGCAGACAACATCACAGAAGTTTAATACAGCCTTTCTTTGGGATACCGTAAAACTCAACGAATTCAAGATAGTCTTGAGCAATAGATTCCAGGCCTTTCAGGATCTACTCAATGGAGAGGAAAGAACCTTGGAGAACAATTGGAAAGGGATCAAGGAGGCAATCACTTCAACATGTCACGAGGTTCTGGGCCACATGAAGTACCACCGCAAGGAATAGATCTCTGTTAGTACTCTTGAAAAAATTGAAGAAAGGAGGAACAAGAGGACAGGAATTAAAATCACCCGAACTAGAACAGAATAAGCCAAGGCACAAGCTGAATACACAGAACCAAACAAACAAGCGAAGAGGAGCATCCGAGCTGACAATCGTAAATGTATGGAAGATCTATCAATGATGGCAGAAAAGTCTGCTAGAGAAGGAAATATGAGATAATTGCACAATACAACAAAGTCGCTCGCTGAAAACCATCGTAAACCAGAACGACCAATCAAAAGCAAAGAAGGCAAAGTAATCAGCAACACTGAAGAACAGCGAAATAGGTGGGTAGAGCACTTTCAGCAACTCCTGAATCGACCAGCTCCACTGAATCCACCTAACATTGAAGCAGCATCCTCGGACCTCCCAGTCGATGTTGGTACACCTACAATTTAAGAGATCAGTATGGTCATCAGACAAATGAAGAGTGACAAGGCAGTGGGACCAGACAACATTCCAGCGGAGACAATGAAAGCAGACGTAGCAGCAACAGCGAAAATATTTCACATTCTCTTCAACAACATTTGGGATGAGGAACAAGTGCCATCATACTGGGAAGAGATATACCTCATCGAAATACTAAGTAAAGGCGATCTCAGCAAGAACTACAGAGGCATCACTCTTCTCTCAATACCAGGAAAAGTCTTCAAGAAGGTATTGTTAAACAGAATGAAGGACTTCGTAGATGCCCAACTTCGAGACCAACAGGCTGGACTTTGAAAGGATCGATCGTGTACCGACCGTATGGCAACACTACAAATCATTATGAAACAATCAATCGAATTAAACGCATCATTGTACATCAACTTCATTGACTACGAGAAAGCATTTGGTAGTGTGGACAGGAAAACACTATAGAGACTTGTTGACACTACGGCGCGCCTGAGAAGATAGTCAACATCATATGGAATTCTTAAGATGGATTGAATCGCAGAATCGGGCACGGACGACAGCTGAGAAACTCGTTTGAGGTGAAGACCGGTGTCAGGTAAAGTTGCTTACTCCCGCCCTTTCTCTCTCTCCTGGTGATCGACTGGATTAGAAAGACGTCAATATCTGGAAGAAAGCGTGGTATCCAATGGACGGCCAGGATGCAGCTTGACGACCTAGACTTCACAGATGATCTGACTCTACTATCGCACACACAACAACAAATGCAGGAGAAGACAACTAGTGTGGCAGCAGCCTCTGCAGCAGTAGGTCTCAACATACATAAAGGGAGAAGCAAGACTCTACGATACAACACAACATGCGCCAACCAAATCACTCTTGATGGAGATTCTTTGGAGGATGTTAACACATTTACATATCTGGGCAGCATCATGGACAACCAAGGTGGATCCGATGCAGATGTGATGCCGCGGATCGGTAATTCAATGGCTGCATTTCTACAATTGAAAAATATCTGGAACTCCAAACAAATATCTCAACAGCAAAATCGGGATTTTCAATGCAAATGTCAAGACGGTTCTACTGTATGGAGCGGAAACTTGGAGAACTACGGAAGCTATCATCCGGAAAATACAAGTATTTATGAACACTTGTCACAAGACATGCCCTCACATGGAATCCTCAAGGTAAAAGGAAAAGCGGAAGGCCAAGGAACGCTGAGAAATAGAGAAAGACATGATGATAATGAACAGAAATTGGACAGAAATGGAAAGGGAAGCCCAGGACAGAGTTGGTTGGAGAAAACTAGTGGGCGGCCTATGCTCCATTTGGGGTAACAGGCATAAGTAATTAAGATCGAATTTTATCGACCGATTCGCAATGCGGCCACTAAATGACCCATGATCATGTGCTTTGTGTTAACATGTACGGTGGTAGGTTGTCGAAGAGGACGTCGACCTAGTTTTCGCACCACATGGTACTCGTCAGCGAAACGTGCCTGTAATCTTGAGGAAACGAATTTTCCCAGGTAGATCCGGACTCGCATTTCTTAGTTTTTTGTAACTTACTGTATACAAGTATCTGTACGTTCAGCTTTAAGCTACACAATTTACGTAACGGTTAGTGGTACTACTATCCGGATGCCGAAACCGAATTAGGTTGAGGTGAAAGAAGGTTCGGACATACCAAACTATCGATGGGTAAGTACCGGAAGGTTTAATCATTAAACAATCACTTCAAAGTCTGTGTGAGTAGTCACTTATTGCTTAGCGAATGAGGTATAATATGCATAGAAAATTATCATGACTTCCTAAATGTTTGTACATATATGATGTATGTTTCTTTTTGTTCAACTTTAACTCTCTCATGTAGATGTGTATTGTTTTTCTCTTTTTTGTTTGCTTGCGTAATTTATCAGAAAGAATCAATAATTACTCCGTGTTATAGTAGTAGTGGCAGTCAAACTATGTTAAGTCCATCATGTATTACTCCTACTCATAAAATCTCGTCATCTCATCTGGTAAATCAATCAGAAAAGGTATTTAATGATGAAAATATTTTACCAATAAGTGAGTGTAACAAGTGCATTTTTTATACATTAACATAATTGATGTTTTTTTTTACACTTTCGAACACGAGATAAATAAAGATGTTATATAGTATTGGAGTTGTTCACTAAAACGGATTAAACAACCTTAAAGAGTTCAGTGGTAACATCTCAAACTGTGACACGCTGATGCGAGTTAGAATTTCACAAGGAGCTTTAGTTCCTTTGAATCTACATGTACGCCTTACTGACGAGTGCTTATTAACTCTAAACGAATGGAGTAAGGTTTTCTAGTGACCTACCTTTAAACACCTAATAATATCGACTGTTGGATGTTGTTTTCCCCAAATGCTTTTCATGTTTTCTAATATTTCTGTGTATTGCATGTACGTACAATTATTCTTGAATACGATCAAGGATCGGGGTTTGTAAGACTTTTATCCGACAGGTCTTATATAAGAAGGTAAACAATTAACATTAAACGACGTTTCCGGACTCATTAAAATATTGGACCGCTAATTTACATGCAATGATTGTCGTTCTCTGTCATTCACTTACACAAATCCAGTTATAACCTTCAGTCTATTATTGTTATACGTAAAGTCTACGACCAAATTAGAACATCACTCTTATTGATCTATTCAAATAGTAACATTGTCTTCGAAGTTAAATTTTTTTTAATCTGCTGCTTCTTAAATCGTAAAAATATTTACGGTAAATGTTTCGTAGACATTGGATAAATTTGTGAATAGTAGTACATGTGAAATTTTCTTTTCGCTATGTTCTAGTGTATGAACTTGTAACTTGTAAACCGCGCTTACCTTTATACCTTTCTTCTACTGGTAATCTCGGATTGGTTTCAACTACTAATAGAAAATAACTTAATTAATGTGTCTGTTTGCTGCTCTAAGTCAGACAGTTATAACACAGAACTTCGTACGTAAGTACATCAGTTCAGGCTGCCATACCACATTAGCACAGAGATGCAATTGTCAGTTCAGATTCAATAATGGTAAAGATAGTAGAAGTATCAGCAGTAATGGAGAAGATAAAGATTTGAAGAGAACATTCAAGAAGTATAATTAAATGAGATAAGTTTAGAAAGAGAAAGGTAGAGGTGATGACGAATTCAGAAGATTAGAATTTGAGAGAATACAGCGAGTGGATGCATTTGCGCCATCGCGAACGGTTCTGAGCCATGTAGTTCAACGTCTCTAACCATTCGGTGACTTTCGTCTTGCGTACCCCAACCAGGTAGTCTGCATCTACTAACATGACTCAGCCCGCTTTTCAGTGACTTCATGAATTTATGCCGTGTGTTTGTTGGTGGTTGGGCATTCATAACACTTGAGCCAAACACCTCAACTGATGAAGTTTTGATACTTCGTCTATTGCCCTACCGTCCTTACCTAGCTCCCGTTTCCTAACAACAACATTACTTACTCGGTTGTTCTATGATACACGAGCAATGCTTCGGAGACACCGATGATCGAAAACAAGCAACCTACGAATATCTCTGACTGGCCATGTTTCACAGCCATAAAGTAAGACGGAGCAAACTACTGCGCAGAACACCCGTCCTTTAGTCAGAAAACGGACATCTCGCCCACGCCATAAGTGACGTAGGTTGGCGAAAGCCAATCAAGTATTCTATATCCGTTCTGAGATTTCGTCAGTCACCAGGCCATCAGTATTGATGAGTTTTCCCAGATTGGTGAGCTGGTCAACACGCTCAACTGCTTCACTCCCAATCACTAGTTCAGATGTGGATACAAGTCAATCCTGAAACAACATTTTGCATTTGGAGTGGGTGAACCGCATCCCGAACATGCTTGCATTGTTGCTTAGGGTAGTCAGAAGACTCTGCTGCATTTTGTCAGCGTGTTCATCGAACAGAACTATGTCATCAGCATACTCTAGGTCAACAAGCGTGTCTCCTGGTAGAAGGTCCACTCTTGAAAATTCAGACGCTGATAATGTTAACTCTAAAAGCATATCTACGACAACGTTAGACAAGAATAGGGAGAGTAGATATCTCTGACGGACACCACTTGAAATAGAGAATTCCAATGACAGTTCGCCATAAGCTCTGACTCGACCAGTGATGTTCGAGTGAAGAGCCTGTATAAGGTAATATACTTCTTTGGTACACCTTTTAATACCCGTTTACTGCTATGTCGATTAACAGTCATCAGCTGAACGCAAAAAGTGCTAGATATTTTACTTTTATTGAATATTTAAAAAAAATGAATAATTCTATTAATCTTTTTTTATTTTATCTGATATCTGGTTTGTTTGTTTTTTCTCTTCCCCTTTTTGTTATAAATTGAAATGGAAAATTAAAACAAAAAATCTCTTCAAGTTCAAATGTATTCTCCAACAACAAATTCATCATTATTTGATTCAAATAATCTATCATTGCAATGTATTTATTATTCATTGAATAATAATAATAATAATAATAATAATAATAATAATAATAATTTATCATATTCTTCATCAAGCACTACAACAGATCAACAATTATCCAAAGAATTTGATTCAAGTCCATTGAGTCAAATTTTAGAGGTATCAATTATTGATTGTTTTTTTAAATTTTTTCTTTTACATGATATAAATAATTGCACATTTTTGAAACCATGAATCGATCAATGTTAGACCACCATCAGAAACCTGGAATCCACGACTCCTGAACCCCGCAGGATTCGAACCCAGGACCTTGGGTATTGTAGGCGAACGCCTAACCATCGGACCACTGAGCCGGTATCTAACGGTGTTAATGTCTAACTTGATCAATCGCATCAGACTCAGCTTGTTTATTTATATTATATTTATGGACTTGTTTTTCATTTTGCTCAAATGAATATTCATTGATTCTTATTTCATATTAAATGTAATCAAATTTGTGTATATTTACAGGCTTGTGCGAAGTTCTATGCTTTGATTTTACATAATCATGATTTTTGTCCATATGTGTTTGTTTGTTTGCATTGACAAAAATGTATTTTTATCAATTTAGTGAAACTATGTGTGTTGACGATGCCTTGTGTTCTTGAAGAAAAAAAATTAGAAATCTTAATGGTAGTTTAACTCTCATGTAGAATAGATAGAATATGGTTATCTGTGTGTGTAATCTGGGACCGACATTTCGTTCTATTGAGGACTCGTCAAATACTAGCTACATGTCCCTGTTTGACAATCGACACTAGGATGCAGGCACATACATCGGGCGCATCAAAAATAGAATGAAACACGCCTCTTGGATTCCATTTATTCTACATATTCATAAAGATTTACTCGCTTAATTATTTGTTGGATTCGACCATGTTGAACTATGCTGACCCCACCCACCTGATCCGGGTCCTGGCAAACACCATCACTATTGGTTGGAGAAATTAACTTGATATGGTTAAGAATCAAACAAAATAACACTGTTGCATTTACTCTTTATTTTCTCGAGTCAAGTTGTCTATGCTTAATGTTTTACTGTTACTACTACTACTACTGATCTTGATACAAATTCGACTAATCTAACATTTGTTTTGATAATTTCATTCAGCTGTGCGGAAATGACGTGTTACAACTTGATGAATCAGTGCATTTAATAACTACATATATATATGTTGATGAATTAATGAATGCGAAATTCATACCAATATACAGATATAATTAGCTTGATATAGATAGCAATTTTAAGTGTCAAATTAAATTGTTTGCAGTGTTCTAGTTCGTAAATTGTTTGGCAAGTAAATTCATCACATGCAAGGCATTAGTCAGGAACTATCAATTCTTGTTTTAACTGAGTATTCTGTTGTTTTATGGAATTATTTACAACCAAAGAAAATATAACAGAAACAGAGACCACGTAACAACGAGAGTAATAAGTACTAAGATAAAGTTAGTCAAGTCTACCATGATTGAAAGAAAGCTAGAGGTGGCCAAACCAAAACATGGAACAAATCCATGAAGTCACTAACAAGTGGACTGAGTCATGTCGGTAGACGCAGACTACCTGGTTGAAGTCGACGAGACAAAAGTCATCAATGGTTAGAGACGTTGAACTACATGGCTCAAAATCGTTTGCAGTGGTGCAGATGCATCCACTCTTTGTGTTCTCTCAAATTCTAACCTTCAGAATTCCTCATCATCTCTATCTTTCTCCTTCTAAATTTATCTCACTGAATTATACTTCTCGAATCATATCTTCGCTCCCTAATCTTCTCCATTACTACTAATACTTCTACTTCGCTATCACTGTTGGATTTGAAGTGACAGTTGCGTCTCTGTGCTGATGTGGTATGGAAACCTGAACTGATGTACTTACGTAAGAAGTTCTGCATTGTATCTGTCTGTCTACCATGATTGAGGTGTAAGATTATTTAATGTGATTTAATGTTCAGGTCGAATATTATTGAAATTAGTCAAATTTTCACAAGAAACAGTGTTAGTGTAAAGTAACAAGTTCAAGTAGCCAGGTTTAGTTAGTTGACTTAATAATTGAATATTTAGCGTTTCTATAATCTTTCACCTATGAAATGGGATACATTTACAGCTGTCAACACATATTCAAAGCATTTTCTGAGGAAAATTTAACGAATTCGAATGAGATATTATAACTAATGCTGATAAAAGGTTGTGGAAGCTATTGTGTGTTAATGAGTATCGAAATTTACAATTTCCAGTAATATAAACTTTTATTGAATTGTCCAAAGATAAACAAGTAAGATTATTATTTCTTTAAATTTCAATTTCGATCGCATAGTTGAATTGATTGAGTGTAGTCAAACATTATGATTGGTTAATATTGTCTAACTGTTTTTCCTCTTTGGTCTATTTTCGTATCAGGCATGACGTAACAACAACAAAATAGTCTGTTTCCTTTTTCTTCAAACTATATATCACTTTAACCAATGAGATTTTTGAATCAACTATACTTTCATTGTAGGGATTATATGATGCATTAATCATCGTACCATTGGTTTTTATCAAACTAATAAGTCACCACACAAAAAAACTCTAATTGAGTATTACAAGAGAACTAACTGTTGAACACTTCATTAACTAACTCCTACTGAGCTACAAAACCCAATTTTTTTTTGTACAGTATTCCTGTAAAATTCCATTATGTACTGGATGCATATTGTAATGTAGTCTGAAGGTGTGGTATGATGATGTGAGAGCTACACCTACTAAGATCTAAATATAGGCTGTCATCTAATCTGTATTAGAGTAGGCGGGTATCTAAACTTTTCTAATAATTATTATGGATGGTTGATGTATGGGAATAATTATTTTCACTATTATTATTATTATTATTATTATTATTATTATTATTATTATTATTATTATTATTATTACTGTTTTGAAGCTTTCACAATCTTTCAAGTACGTACGTTGCCAAATAACCTTGAGCAACTTTTAAAACAACGACCTCGGGGAAATCAAGCCAATTGCTAAGCATTCAAAATACCAGTTATAAATGAATATTTTATCATGTAAAGGCTCGGGAAACGATAAGGCTAGAATTAATATGTAAAGTTGATATTTAGATTTCAGAGTTCGTTTTAGGGTTATGTGTTGTTGTTAGAAATAGAATGAAAGGATGCATTGCAGCCATGTAGAGAAATAGAGTTTTGTAGTCAGTTCTTTGATTTCAAATATCAAGAATATTGATAATTACTCGTTAATACTCTTCAACCTTTCCATAGTTGTACATTTTAAGCATCCTAATTTTTTATCTTTACGCCAACCAATCCATAGTAGCCAATCTACAAAAAAGAACAAGAAACTTGTTACTCTTAAACGGTGGCCTAATACTAACTTGCTATAATCAAAAGGGAAGAGCGAAGACCAATTACGACCAGTCCAAGATTCTTTTTGTTATTATATTTCAAATATTCCTTTATATCCACACACACACACAGCCAAATCACGTCGCATCGATAAGTGGAATTTTAACAACTATACATAAGTGGGCCAAAAGTGGCTGTGAGTAAGGGAGGTTGTAAATAATAAACTGTCAACAACATAGAAACAATACGTCGGATGATGATAACTTATGGATCATTAGAAAGCTTATGACGATAAAAGGAATACATATGCCTAATGGTTTAGTCAATTAATCCTTATCATATTAGATTACATATACATCAATAGTCCTTAAATTGGCTGCATAAGTTACTATTTACTTTAGTTTTCATCCGGATACAACACTGTTACACATGCACGTAAACCCGTCATTTCAATATGCTGGAACTATTACGAGTTTACCTTAGTCGGAAAACGAGAGCAAGGATCCGGTAACACGACAGGCTACTCTAATCCGAGCGTCGTAAACCCCTATTGAGTAAAAGAAGTAGAACTTGTATTCTACAAGCATCCAGAAAGTACGAGGTCAAAGTCCAGAAGAGGATAAGGATCTTGGACTAAGGAGGTGACTCCCGTGATGTAACAAAGTTGCACATCAAAGACATTATAAAACATCTGTTCAATATTGTGAGACGATTGAAGTGGGATAGGCAGATGGTCCAAAGGTTGAGCGCTTGCCATAAGACCACCTACAGTTTGTGACCTCAATTCCCTATAGGATTTTCAGATGTGTACTGTGGAGGAGGAGCTCCTTAATTAGGGCAAAACAACTGTTTTAGTTTGTTTATTACTAGATGTTAAATTGTCACTTATTTTTTTCCATTCTCTCCTAGTTTATTGACGAGAATAATAATAATAATACTACTGGGACTAATACTACTATTAATAATCATGACAATGACCAACCCAACGAAGATAACATTAATACTAGAAAAGAATATTTGGATTTAGATAATGATGATACAGCACAATCGTCATGCTTGTTAACTGGATTACAAACACCAAATATTATTTGTTATTTAGATGAACCAGTTATTAGTTATTATTCAATCAACAATTCGTCGATTGAAGATTGCTAACCCGTCTTTTTTTTGTTTTTGTTTTAGTGATTATTTCTTATTTCTTTGAAAGAAAACTATTGTGATACGTAATTTTACTTTTTTTTTCTATGTATTTATTTTATTTTTCTTTTATTTATTTATTGATTGATTCATTTACCATTTTAATCACCACCATCATCATCATTATTATGTTAAGTCATCACATTATATATATGTATATGTAGGTATGATATGATATCTCATGACATTGTCTAGGTTATTAATTTATATATATATATCCGAATTTGTGTTGTGTTCATTTAACTTATGTACGCATTTATTCAATATCATGTGATGAGAGAATATTATACACATGAATAATACTTGTCTTGTTTTTCGTTTTAATTAGTCTAAAATGGCAATATTATTTCAATTGATGAAGTGTTCAATTCTTTTCGACTGTTGAGTGTACTGCACAGCAGTTTGCTCTGTCCTACTATACGAATGCGAAATATGGCCGTTAAGAGTAGACGACTTTCGTAGGTTACTAGTCTTCGATCATAGGTGTATCCGAAGCATTGCTGGTATATCCTGGGACAACCGAGGAAGCAATGCTGTAGTTAGGAAACAAGTATTAGGTAAGGATGGCAGATCAATAGATGAAGCATTGAAACTCCATCAGTTGAGGTGGTTGGGACATGTGTTACGAATGCCTAACCACCGACTGTCTCGACGAGCTATGTTTTGCATTGTAGGAATACTTTGGAAGAAAGTTAGGGGTGGCCAGACCAGAACATGGCAGAAATCCATGAAGTCACTGACAAGTAGACTGAGTCATGTTGGTAGATGTAGACTACCTGGTTGGGGTCCGCGAGACGTAAGTCACCGATGGTTGGAGACCTTGAACGACATGGCTAAGAATCGTTTGCAATGGCTTAGGTGCATCCACTCTCTGTGTGCTTTTTAATTCTAACCTTCTGAATTCCGCATGATCTCTATCTTTGTCCTAAATTTATCTCACTAAATTATACTTTTCGAATCATATCTTTTCTCCCTAATCTTCTCGATTGCTGCTAATAATTCTACAATTGCTATCACTCTTGGATTTGAAGTGACAGTTGCGTCTCTGTGCTGATGTGGTATAGCAACCTGAACTGATGTACTTACGTACGAAGTTCTGCGTTGTATCTGTCTGTCTGTCTGTCGACCATTGATCAGCTCTCAACAGGTTTAGAGTGATTTTCACACACACACACACACACATTGTTCTTTTAAATATTTCCTCGAATTATCATATGTACAAATATTTTTTTCCTTCGAATTCAGCTCATTCCTAGTCATCTGGATAATAAATCTATGTTCACCACACATGGTTAATTTGTTCTTAGTTAAACTAAGTAGTGTCAATGGTCGTTCATAACTAGAATACTAAATAGCTGTAGTTGGGGGTATTCGCTGGGCAGATACTTCAAAAAAATAAAATAGTTTATATATCTAGCAAGAATTATTCATCATGCACATTTCATTTACTCAAGTAAGCATAAAAGGTCAAGTGGGAGGATTCATTTTATGTCTTAAAAAAATTGGTGATAATAACTGTTTGTGTAATATATCCTAATTGGAGTTTGCTTAAAGACAGTGGCATGGACGTAAACCATCTTAGGCTGTCACAATTCGTTTTTTGGAAATGAGAGGGCGAGTGATTGTTAAAAAATAAACATGATTCGGAAAAATTCCCATGGATTAAGGATATTACTAATCTGAATTATAACACTAAGACTCGAGATTTAGAGGCAAAAAATAACAATGTGTACTATTACTGTTCCTCTCTGATTATTTCTGAAGGCATACCACTTACGGTTTTCAACTATAAATTGTAATTATTTCGTATACCTTGACTTAATCATAGTTGCTTGCATAATGTCAATTATGCGATCGAGGAATAATATGCGGAACAAGCGTTCCTTATCAAACAATCCGTTGGAGAAGACTGGAAGTGGCAAACTAAAATACAAGGGCGATGCCAACATAGCATCATGACTTCGTTTGGTTTTTGTGTGTTTTTGACAAATTCTTTTAACTAGTGATGATACTTATTCTGACTGAAGGATATAAAATCGAATGAGTCGACATAGTGTTTCTGATTGATTAATAATTGTATTCTTTTTCGTCGTAAAGTGGCTAATTATAGTACTAATGACAATGATCAACAAACCAAATTGAGAAGTTAACAGTATTAAAAGCTATAAAATTAAAAACAAACAGTGAGTATATTTTACGAAGAGGAGCTTTATATCTTAATTTAAACGTAACATATTACTGAAATTTGATCCGGACGACTAGCTTGTTCTGTGGTTCCATAAGTTACGAGATATAATTCCTATGGTCGACGTAATTCACTATACAGATGATAAGACTCAAGAGATTTTTGAAGTTTAATTGCCGAACTGCATTATAGTTTACACCATACAGATGTAAATATGGTTGTCCTTTTATTTCTTTCATGGAAATGTAAGCTGAGACTTTGTCTAGATTCTAGACGGACTCTCCAAAATATGTACCTTGTTTGCTTGACCAAAACATGGCACAAATCTATAAAGTCACTGAAAACTGAACTAAGTCATGTTAACTGGTGCAGACTACTTGGTTGAGGTCAGCGAGATGATAGTTGATTTTTTTCTTGTGGGAATTATGTGTTTGTACGCTTTATTATAAAAAACGGTTCTTTATTATTAGGTCAGCTCATTCACATTTTTATTCTTACTCATCCATTCAATGAACTCATCTAGATCAGTCACTCAGTGGTCATAAACAAACTTCCGATACTGGAACGCTTATCGTTCGCCCAGCTCCATCTAAACTAGTGTATAATCAGAGGCCTAAGTGTAAAAGCAGATTAGTTCTTTATTATCCTAATATGATCCTAATTCAAAAACTCATAGATTTATTTATATAAACTAATCACTAGAGCACAATAAAACACATGAAAATTCATAATTTGTACTCAACCAAGCCATTTTGTGATAAAGAACTAATAAACAGGTGATTAATTAATTGAAAATGATTTAGAAGTGTTGAATTGCGCATCGACGACTCCTGCACCTCACAGGATTCGAACTCGACCTTTAGCTTTGTGTGGGGACTCCGATCGATTGTTCAGCGCAGGGCGGTTGGAGGCCAAACGGTTGGAACGGCTGCTGGTTAGTGCACTGCTTGGTTGGCTCGGTAATCCACTTCGGGGTGCCTGGTCTAGCTGGGTAAGCCCGCCTTGCCGATTGGGAATTGTGGGTAGTGGATTGGTTGGAGGGATCTCTTGATTCATAAGTGCCCGGACGCCGGCCGCTGTTCGTGTGAGTACTTTTTGGATTTCCAACTTGTCTGCAGACCAATCTAGATAACATGTATGTTCCCGATTGGGGCAGGGGTGTTTACTGTTGGCTACAGTGAGAATCCTTGCGTTGCCTAAAAAGCAGCGATGTGCATGTGCAGCAGGCTTGTTGGTTGACCATGACTAGAAGTGTTGAATTGTATAATATCAGTTAGTAGGTCAAACGAAGTTGCTTAGTTAGGGAGATGTAAAATACAATAATCCAAGTATATGGTAATTTTACTCAATAACAATATAAGTATCAGTTTTCCATAGGATAGTTTACAAAAGTTAAACTTCCACAACATATAAGATGAACTGTTTGAAATAGTCAAGTCGGTTAAAATCAATTAATTTGTCTGATAAACATGGATAAAGAATAGGTAGTTAAAACGAATATTTTATCTTTGAAAACCCTTGATTATTCTTTGATTTATGAATGTATCAACTAAGAGCAAACTTATCCTAACAATTCTGATTGTGATTAATACTTTTGGACCAAGTGAATTATTTACAGGTCTACAACCTACAAAACATATCGAATGACCGTTTGGCTACTGATAAGGGATAAAGTAGTATTTGTTTAATGTTAAAATCTGAAAAGACTTCTGGTTTAGTATCATTTTCCTTTTTTAGTATGTTTACAACAGTGTGGCTTATTTTGCGAATACCTTTCGTGAAATGTAGTATTCGTAAACTTTGATTGCAAAAAATGTTTATTTTACTCACTATCAATCCTTACGAAATCAAACCTGTTGATCTAGAATTTGGGCGTCTACGAAGTCCTTCATTCATACCTTCTTGAAGACTGCCTGGTATCGCGGGAAGAATGATGCCTCTGTAGTTCTCACACTTGTTGAGATCGCCTTCCTTTGGTATTTCGATGAGGTATATCTCTTCCCAGTCTAATGGTACTTGTTCATCATCCCAAATCTTGTTGAAGAGAATGTGAAATATTTTCGCAGTTTTACCACGTCTGCTTTCATTGTCTCCGCTGGAATGTTGTCTGGTACCACTGCCTTGCCGCTCTTCATTTGTGTGATGACCAAACTGATCTCTTCAATTGTAGGTGTACCAACATCGATTGGGAGGTCCGAGGATGCTGCTTCAATGTTAGGTGGATTCAGTGGAGCTGGTCGATTCAGGAGTTGCTGAAAGTTCTCTACCCACCTGATTCACTGTTCTTCAATGTTCCTGATTACTTTGCCTTGCTTGCTTTTCACGGCTCGTTCTGGTTTATGATAGTTTCCAGAGAGCTTCTTTGTTGTATTGTGCAATTGTCTCATATTTCCTTCTCTAGCAGACTTTTCTGCCGTCATTGATAGATCTTCCATACATTTACGATTGTCAGCTCGGATGCTCCTCTTCGCTTGTTTGTTTGGTTCTGTGTATTCAGCTTGTGCCTTGGTTTATTCTGCTCTGGTTCGGGTGATTTTGATTCCTGCCTTCTTGTTCCTCCTTTCTTCAATTTTTTCAATAGTACTAACAGAGATCTATTCCTTGTGGTGGTGCTTCTTGTGGCCCAGAACCTCGTGACATGTTGAAATGGTCGCCTCCTTGATCCCTGGTTGTAAGAAGGGACATCGGCCTCGTTACTTCCGACGAGACTCGGCTTTCAAAAAAGAGAGGTCATAACACTTCTGACAGAAGGCTTAACTCTCAGGGCAGATATAAAATGGTTTGAATTGATGCTTCTGGTTAGCATATATTATGGAGTTAGTATTTTATCGCATGGAGCCTCTTACTCCATGCTTAACACTTCTCGTTTTTCTGGTCTTTGGACCGGCAGTATCCCCAGATGGGTCCCAGGTGGAGTTATTATTACTATATAGAGTATTTTAAATTTGGTTAGAGTCTTTGTAAGGGAATGTCGAAACCAATGATTTATCTAATCTAAATTCTTAAAATTCTCATATCTGTGATGGATTACTTTTAATTTGTTCCAACATTTTAGGGACGCATTTTTTCTT